AAAACTCTCAAACTCCCGAACTCTTTTTGCGCTTGAAATTAAGCTGAAAATTACGCAAAATAAATGATATACGCAAATAAATTGAAATTTATTGAGTCCAAATGTTGTGCCTGTGTGTGATTTTGTTTTGTTGTTTCCATTACCATATGTTGCACAAATACTCTGCAAATATATGTGTAACTGTGGCATAGGGTTTTTTGTGTGTGTGTGTGCCTGGCATCAGCTTGGGATATGTAAATTCGCTTTTTGTGTTGCAAGGTGCGGCTGGTGAACGAGGGAAAAACACATTGCCCTGCGGATTTTAATTAAGCCCAAAAAGGAGTGAACAAATAATAGAATTTAGATGGAAACGCACCACAGATACCACTTGATAAAAAGACATAATAATGAGCCAATTAAATTTACATTTCAATGTATAAATGTGCCTCTTTTATAACTCCTTATAGCCAGAGTCAGCCAGAAATCTTTGTTACAACAAGTCTGCCATGCCCTCCGTCATGGCCATACCCTGGTTCAAAGGTTTGCAAAAAAAGGGGCCTCGGATCACACCACAGTAGCCTTCTCATAAAGCTGCCACTGAACATGGACATGTAACGGGATTAATGCACTGTTTTTCCCACCCACTTTTTGAGCACCCCTTTGCCATCGTCTGTGGCATATGGCGGCCCTGCCACAGATTGGCTTTCCATTTGATTTGCATTGCATTTAATGAAAAATTATTTTCAAATTTGTCTGTTTAATCGTGTGACAATTGGTCAAATGGTCTGTCCCGCTCTCTGTTTGCGTAACCCTGCGACCCGACCGACCGACCATTTGCAAATAAATCAAAGGAATTTCGTGTATTTTTTGCGCGTCCGCCCCCCCGGTTTTGGTGTTTAATGATTGGTAAGCTTTGCAATTAGGAAATTAGTTTGATTTTTAATTAACATGCGGTTACGGTTTTCCATGCCAAAACCATTTCCATTACCATTTCATTTGTTTTTTTTTTCGGGTTTGTTGGTTTTCCCTTTTGTTTTTGGTTTTTTTTCGTGTAAATTAAGCAAATCATTTAATGCGTTTTTGTGGTTAGAATTGTTTTCCCTGTTTCGTTTATTTCTGTGAGTGTGTGTGGGTTTTTTCTATATTAAATTTCACCCGCTGAGATTTGCATTTAATGAGCTTCTAAGTGGATTTTAATTTAATTAATGGAACACTGATTTTTTCTTTTAATTTTAACCTTCTTTTTTTTTGTTTGTTGGTTAGATTTATTTTATTTGTTGTTGCTGTTGCTCATTTGAATATTTTATTGTTACAATTTGTTTTGTATTTGTTCGTTTTTGAGTTCTAATTGAGTGGAGATGAAAGCATAAGAGTTGTGGGGGAGTTTCAGGGATATCTATTTCAAAATGAAATGAAAAGGGTTCAATGAATTTAAAACATGCTACAAAAGAGATAAGAACGACTTTTACTATGAAACCTAAGAGTTGCTAATTATATGCCTATCATTCAATCATTATTCCTAATTAAACACTCAATAAAAAATAATGTTAGCCATCATACTTTTTCCCACTCTCAAATGCACATAAGAAAATCATTTTCCCAGCTCAATTCAGCGCAGTTTTTTTTTCTTCAATATTTCCTTTCCATTGAAGATTGAAGTACGCCCACTCATTAATGATTACCAGCACGGCACTTGGATTAAACCTTTCCTTTCTGATTATCTTGCGCCCCTTCCTTATTATCCTATAAATCTACGCCATTTAAGCCTTTTTTGCCGCCTTCGCTGCTGTGCGCCACACAGAATTCATTTAACGAATGCATTTAATGAAATCTTCTTTTGCCTGGGCCAAAATCTAATTAGCTTTTGGGGGCTTTGCAGGAGGAACTAATTACAAGGATGCAGCAGCAGCAGGAGCAGCAGGAGCAGCAGCAGTAGACGACTTTCATGTTTGATCCTGTACAAATTAACAAATTGTATACGTTTATTAAGAGAGCAAAGCAAACGGAAAGAACCCACAAAGCAGCAGCACACAGGGACAAGGAAAAAACTTGCAAACGTCATCGAAAAAGTGTTCGGAGACCGAGGGCCACACAATTGCGAGTCTTTGCTGCCGGGGCTGCTGGGCTGCACTCAAGTGGCTTTATCAGTGGTGTGTGTGTAACCACAGCTAACCAGGACAGGACTGTGCAGGATGTGGTCGGGGATATCCTTTACAATTTTTTGAGGCAAAAAGCGAAACGCCGAATGAAAATTGCATTCAATTGAGCGCATTTATTGTTTGAATTAAGTCATGAGGAAAATTCCATTAGAATGGCAGAGAAAACTGCACTGCGAGGCAGCAATCCCGGTCGGTCGGACGGATGGGTGGGTGGTTTGGGGTGGCATTGGGATTGGAAACGGCAACCTCGTGCTCCGGTTTGGGGGCGTGTTGCTGCAGCCCCGGCAGACACATGTGGCGCATTAGACGGGCCTTTGGCATTAAATGGGATTTTATGCAGCGACTTTGGTGCTCTTGTGCCGCTTTTGTCTCGAAAGCAATCAGCCACATTTAACTCTGTTCTGTTCTGGTCTGGTCTGGTCTGGGTGGATCTTCCTCCCTCATATTTTTGTGTGTGTGCACCACCTGCAACATGCTGCTGATTGACAGCTCTCGACTGCAATTTAGAGTTGCACGAACAAAACAAAATGCTGCACTTGATTAAGTCTCTGCATTTATGAATCGGAAATATGATGGGTGCACAGCAACGACTAGAAGTTACTCTATGGCAGGATATGAATGGAGATTTTCTTGCTTATTCTTTAATGTAAAGTCTGTCAGTGAATTCATCAGAATGATTTCAAGCATTTTTTAGCAATTAAATTTGCAGTTATTTCTTGCAACTGTGCCATCAATGTGGCAATGCTTGTAAAATCAAAGATTATTTCTTGTATTTTCAAACCTTTCAAACAACTCAAACTTCAAAGCCAAAATATGTCCCTGAGTTAAGCTTGAGGAAAAATGTGACATTGCAATGTTATGATTGGTTTCTGTGTTCAGTTTTTAATTAGTTAGGCCGAGAATGACACACAAAAAGGCTTACCCACAAAGGACATTGAAAGTAACAGGCCCCAGAGGGAGCTGGCATTCTGCATTGGCAAGAGTTAATTAATTTTTCAGCCGTAGAAAAAAAACAACCAAAACCCGAAAGATAAACTACAAAAAGCCAAAAAGGAAATGCATTTATGCTGGGCAGATGCGAGTGGAAGTGGAAAACCGCACACACACACACACTGAGAGAGTAGAGGGACAAATACTGAGTCACAGTTGGTGTTGGCTTGTGATAGGACGATAAAGTTTGTCCAGAGGAACTCCCTAACCCTATACCCCCTCGAGTCCGAGTTGCGAGGTCCGAGCTCAACCACATTGTTTGCCATACACTTCATTTATTTGGAATTAGACCGGGCACTCGGGCCACTCTGCAACGCTCAGCTTGATGCACTCGAAATTTGAATCCTTTATGAAGCGTGGCAGCAACAAGGACCCAGCTACACACACACACACACACACACACACACACACACACACACATGCTCATGCATAGATGGGGAAGTAGCCTCGGACTCGGCTCCTGGGTTCAGTTTTGTGCATCAGACCAAAAACCATTGATTGTCATCGAATAGCCTTCTGCAGAAGCAGAAGAAGAAGTAGCAGCAAACGAGAGAGAAAGAGTAAGGACAAAAGCACGATGGAGGCAACTCTCAAGCTGCTGCTGCTACTTCTGCTACTCCTGTGTGTCCCTGTGTCCCTGTGTCCTCTGCTGCTTAATAGTCAAAGTGTCCGGGTTCCATTTCCACTTTTGCCTGCACTTGGCAGTGCCTTTCCGCCTTCCTGCTCCCTCCACCCATATGGGGTTTACGTGTTTTTGTACATTTGTTACGCTACACGTAATGCAATGTGTCCCCGTGTGTTTGTGTGCAGAGAGGACACTCTGTCCGTTCCCAGTCCTTTGCATCCTGTGCACTTGATAAATCTCTAATGCCACTTTGGGTGTGCCAACCACACAACCGGACAACCCCTCGGACTCCACCCAAACACCACAACTCACCTCAGAGTTGGCCTCATGTGTGGGGAGGACTCCCTTTTGAGTAGCTCTCTCCCTGTCTCTCATCACCATTCTCTCGTACTCCCATTTTCAGCATTTGTGTAATTTCTGTTGCTGTCGTTGTCTCATGTCCAATTCCCCCGCACCGCTCGGCATATCTTTTCTCTTTCCCAGTTCGATTATTAAACGTTGGAAATTTTGTACAAATGTTTTGGGGTCTGTGCCACCTGTGTGTGTGTGTCTCTTCTGTCTGTACCTGGTCTGTCCCTGAGGTGCTCCATTGATGATCCTTTCGGCCAATGTTTAATCAAAGTTAATTCGAGGTATTGTTGGTCAATTGTGTGGTTTTCGGCTTAATACTTGTCCAGAGATGAACAAAGTGTATTGAATTTTATACGAGAATGCTCATGGCTGGACGAGAAAGGAATTTTCAAATTTATTTTGGCTTTTCCACTGAATTTTGAATTTGATTTCTTAAATTTGAATTGGCTTCTAAGAAAGAAACCTTCCCTTTCAACTGCTCACTCACTTTTGACCATGGGTACCCTCAATCCCTGACGTAATCCATCCCCAATCAACCCTCCCTGCAGCCCCACTGGTAGTCCAGATGCACCCTAATGAGCTTTTCGTCAGTGTCGCCTGTGTCGCCCCCAGTGCGCTGCCTAATTCCTTAATTAAAATCGAAGCCTACTCACAGGAGGACACAACATTGGTAAAATCCATTGACTGATTGCAATATTTCACTTTTAAGTCACAGGCAATGCCGTGACTCTGCCACGTCGTCCTGGCCATAGTGTCGGCAAAACCGGGAAAACAAACAAACAGAAACAGAAGGGAACGAACTGTACGCAGGGACTTAATTTGTATGATCAAGTGAACAGAACAGAACAGAACAGTGAACAGGCAGGGAGGTGGCGGTGTGGTGAGGTCCTGGCGACTCTACTGCTGCTGCTGCTGCTTTATTAAAAAGGACACTCGGACACCACAAGCATCAAAACCTGTAATCTGTGCAACAAAGTTGCAGCTGTCCGCACTAAGAGTGCACTAAGAGCATAAAGGTATATGGAATTTATGAGAATTTTGGAGGGTTTTGGCAAATTTGTAATAGATTGAACTGATTGTGTGAAATGAGTGGAGGTCAACGCTCTCTGAGGAAATTAAGGTGCTTATATGGTAATAACAAGTTTTAAGCTTTACTTATTTCAATGTTTCTTTAGTGTTCCTTCATGAAGAACGAAGAACTCCTCAAGTTTATTTTGCATCATTAAAATCCCACCAAACTCCCACTTAGAGCATCCAATATTCGTTCTGGAGTGATTTTACGCTTTTGTTCTTCTTGTTTCGAAATGAGATTTGCCGTTAGTCGGCACCACTTGACATGCAGCTAACCAAATGAGCTGAATGGAACAGCAGCAGCCTTCTCCCCCCCGCACACTCAACTCAAACCCAAGCACAAGCCTCTGGAGGAAACCTCCGCTTGGGTGTGGGGCGGAGAGGGAGTCGGGTCAGTCTCGTTGTCGTCGCCGTCGCCGTTGCCGTTGCGTCGCTTTGGCATAATAAATTAACAAATTTGTCGGCGTCTCTTTCGATATTCGTGCGGCGCTGACAGGACGATGGGCCGCATCCACCTGTGTCCACTTTTGTTGTCCATTTCGTTGCTGCCAATCATGTCGGATTAATAACAGCGAACACACCAACACACACACAGATACACATACAAGAGATGCTTTATTCATGGCAGCTGAAGCATTCAAGTAAAATGGCAGCTGTGTCAGCGTCAACGATGCTGTCCCAATGTCTATGGACTGTCCATGACTGTCCCACTGTCCCAATGTCCATGAGTGTGGAGGACTGTGCTGTGCCGCCTGTCCATTGCACAATGGGGGCGGCCAAATGACGCGTCGCAGGTTGTCCAGTGCATTACACGAGGGACGGGGAGAGTGGGGGAGAGACTTGTTGGAGTTGTAACGGACCTCACATCTATTCTTCCTCACCCAACTCCAACCAGAAACCAACCAACCCCACTACCATCTCTTTGTGTTTTAATTGTAACGGGCAGTCGCATGTTTCGAGTGCATTTTGTGTGAGGTTCCGTTACTTCAACTTCAACTCTTCCGCCTCTTCCCATTTTTCTTTCTTTCTTTCTCCCTGCGGTGTCCTGTCAATATTTTTGCGTATTTCATTGTTGCAGTCCGTACTCGTGTTCCCCGCCTGCCAGTCCATTTGCTCTTTTTACTCTTTTGTTGTATGTGAGATTTATAAGCGGAGTGGCGCTCGCACATACCCATACCCCAAGCAACCGCAACATGTTGCGGCTCACTCCAAACACTCCAAACACCCCAACGCCCCAACACATTCACCTGCTGACCAACCTGTGGCCTGGAGCCTTACCCACACATTCATCAAATGTTCGACTGCTGCCAGAGTCCAGTTCGGGTTCACTTTGGTGCTGGCTCAGCATTTTGCTTTGCTTTTAGTTGGTGCATTCTTTTTCGTACCCAGCACGCAGAGCGAGGGTATACACCGGTTCGTCCAGGGTTTAGCAGAAAGGCTGTCAGTTATTTTGTGAATTATCCTAGATAGCAGAACAGCAGGACAGACTGTCCGTTAGTCTGTGAATGTTCGAAGGTATCGGAAGACTGTCCGTTATTCTGTGAATGTTCCAAGGTATCGGAAGACTTACCTTACTGCCTGGAATGCCTGAATTAGTGAGCATTCCCAAGTCGTATACACTATCATATACACCTCCTTTTCCGTGTCTGTGTGTTTGTCCGACAATTTGGTGAGGCGTCAGTTTTGGCACCTGCTGCTGGTCGCCTGTTCCTCTACTTCCGTTCTCTAAACCAAAAATTGACCAACAAAATTGGACAATTTTTTGTCGCTTCTAGTATTTCGGTTTTTGTTATTTGTATTTATTGTGCCACATGTGTCTCTTTGGTCGAGTGCTGTGCTTTTTTCGGGTATTTTTCTTTGCTTCCTTCGGCTCTAGGGGGGGAAATTTAATTTTGGCTCTGAAGCGCGTGACATTCTATTTGCGCTGTGTCCGGGCCATGACACGAATTTGTTTTGAAAATTGAATTAGATTGGCCTGCAGACCGGCAGCCTGATTTGATTGCACTTTGTGGCAGGCAGCGTGGCATGGCATGGCATCGCATGCGTCCAAAGGAATTTTTTCCTGCACTCGGCAATTTGATTAGCTCGAAGAGTGATGCATAAATTATTTCAAATCATGCCGCATCCGGGGCCACTGGCTTTCAATAGCAACTAGTTAGTGGCTTAGTTAGTTCATGGGCGTGCCCAATCGAAATTGCTAACTGCAACTGGGTTGGGAATTTTTTGGGGCAAAATTAATTTGTTGTACGGAGCTTTGGCTTGTGCCAATTTTATTATGTTTTCAGGGGAAACAAAGTGTGACCCTTTTTATAATAACAATCAATTATTTGGTGCTCTTATTATAACTAATTAGGACGGCAATATTATGTAAACATAATTCAAATTTGCAGCACAACAAATTGGGGCAACACTTCAAAAATTATATATTAAATTCAATATTTATATTTAATCTGCAAAGCAAAGGTTTTACCAGTGTAACACAGAAAAGCGTTAAGTAAAGTCTGGACTTTATAAAGTAAAGTCTGTACAATTGACTTCAACTTTGGGCATAAAGTTGTCTACATCTATTTTTGTAATCTCTATTTATTTGATTAATTTTGATGATTGAAATTAATTGCAATTCCACCTTTCTCTGCTATATTATTTTATTTTTCATTGCCGCATCTCTAAAAAATTTGTCATCGCTGGTCCACTATTTTTTTTTACAAAATGTTTGGAATACAAGTTCTGTTGTTAAATAATTACAAAAAGAGAAAGACTTTTACTAATACATATAAAACGCTATGTAAATTGTATAAATCGATTCATCGAACCTGCCGAAACAGTTTTACCCTGTCAACCCCATCCGCACATACCCCTGCAGCCCATTTACATAGATACGTCAGTATGTTCGAACCGTCAACCGACTGTAAACCGTCAACCCTGTAAAAATCAAAGTGAATTTCGTTTTTTTTTTGTCATCCGCGAATTTTATTGCATTTTTATCGCTCCTGCAGCAAAACGGTAGAAGATATGCGAATATTTTGCACTCAACCGTCACTAATCATTTCATTTAACTTTAAAATTATATTTATGAACTTTTCTGGCATTCGACATTTATGACGTAGGCTTGAACCCGACGGACAGCTGTTGGCAGAATTATTCTGGCCCGGCTCCGGCCCCGCACGTGCCTACAATTTTATGATTACTTTTCTTGGGCATCCCCTGTCCCCAGTCTATGGCTAATTAGGGTAAAGTCGCAAATTTGCCTATTGAAAAGTCGTAAAAATGTTGTGCAATTTTTTTTTGCATTTCGTCAGTCGTAAAATTTGTAAATTTACATAATTTAATCCTAATTTTCTATACCCGCTGACAGTTTTTTTATTTTATTTTTATTTTACAACCTGATATCGTAAAAATGTAATAGGCTGACGACTAATTTTGAACTAATTTACATAATGAGGTATGGAGAAAAATGTTTACTGTATCAAATTAACAGGAAGTTAAGCTCAAAGGTTCATGAACTTTAAACTAATAAGGATTTTCATTTTCATTACAGGAAACCCAATACCAGTGGATCATAAAAAGAGGAACCACATCAACCGAAATCAACTTGCATCAACGAGAGGTAATGCGTTTGGGTAACGCTTTTATTTTGACTAAAACTTAATATATTTCTTTTTGTAAATTCACGAATTTTCGGTTTGCTAAAATTAAGTTTTTAAACTTCCCCCACAATCGAAAACAATTGAAAGCCAAAGGGAAACGAAATACCGAACTTATATCCTTCCGATGGAGGGGAAATTTGCATTTCCTACGCTTTTGCATGTGGGTAAGACCGACCCGCGAGCTATGAAATGACTTTTCCAATCTGTCCCCGTTTGTGTTGAATTTTCCAGTTTATTAATTCGCCAATTGACAGACTTATGGCAAATTGAAAACAAAAGCGCGAACAGCGCGCCAGAGGGAAAAAGGGAAATCGGCAATTCAAAATTCGTTATGCATGCTGCTCTCCTTTGCAGTGTGCGAAAGAGAGGCAGCAATGTAGAGAGAGAGAAAGCGAACAATGGATGCAATAATAAAAATCAAGCCCGCAACGAATTTGTGCAATCAGCTGGAAATTATTTACATGTTTATACGAAATTGAAACAACAAACATAACGCACTCGGGAAACACTGCAAAAAATTGGTGTTAGAGAATGGGAATTTTAGGAATTTTATGTTTGAAGATAGCTGGAATAGTTGTATTTTTTTGAGCTGAGAAAACCCTTCCATGGAATAGGGATTTTTTAGAATTATAGCCTCCGAATGAAAATTTTTCTTTGTTTCACTTTCCGCAATACAAATTCGCAACTAATCAATCAAAGTTTAGGAATAGTTTGTCAAAAATCTATATTACTACATTTTCATTTAATTCAAGTTCGTAAATGTTTGCAGTGTAGCAGGAGCGCCCTGAGGGCACGAGCCAATCTCTTTCGCTCTCTTTTTCTCTCACCTCACCATGTGTTGGTTGTCCACCTTCTTCCTCCCAGCACGTACAGGCGTCTCCATAAAGCGCCCTCAGATTTACATAGAAAATGTCGCACAGATCTACACCTCCCTTTTACCGCCACTGTCGTTTGGCTCTTGGCTGGGAAGGTTCGAGTCATAAATATCACAATTAATGATGCAAAAAGTGCGAAAAGAATTTTTATGTGTACAAATTTGCATTGTTCGGCGAGTCCGTGCCCAAAGGATGTGCATCTGCATATGCATATTTTATGTGGGTTTCACTGTACCTGTGGAAATGCGAGAAGCAAGCAGTTTTGCCTGCCAAAAGTCTGATGCGAAAATGAGAGACTGGTTGAGAGCTGAAAATGCTTCTCTTAGCTGCCCACAAATTCTCTTTAAATGGATTTTAATGTTTGGATCCTTGGCATCGCATCCTTTTATTTCATTTCGAATGCAGCTCCACCTCCGTCACTGATTTATAACTGGACCAATATGTGAGAGAGGCCAAGCAAGCAACCAACACTTGGCGCTGCCGAGAAGAGAAAGCATAACAGGAAAGAGAACATCAATTCAGGCAATTTAGTGCCTCCTTGGCTTCTTGGCTTGCATTTTCCGACCGAAAATAATTTGAATGAAAACTCCATTACGGCTTCCGGGTGTGTGTGTGTGTGTGTGTGCTGAAGAGAGTGAAAGAGATGGGGGGTGTAGGGAGTCTGGCGGCAGAGACTGAACGTCGCCGTCTTTGGTCGGCGCCAGTGATTCATTCGTCGAGTGACCGCAAGGCGGGCGGTACCCAGGCAGGGTAGTGGGGAGTGCCAGGCCACATGGCATGCTCCCACTTGCGGCTTCGACTGCTGCTTAAGTGCACACTTTACACATTTCTCTTTTATACTGTGGCTTCTCTGGCGCCCTGCCTCTCTCTCTCTCTTTGTCACATAAATCGTATTCGTAGCGAATTTTATATATTTTCTTTTTGTTGAATACCCTTGAAGAAGGTGGATAGGTTTGGCTAAGGTATTGGCAAGGCAGAGCAGAGGGATCTGTTGTGGCTTGACTCTTGGATCAGTATCAGAGTCCGAATTTTCTTCTATAAGACTTTTCTTTTGCAAAATTGTTTACTTTTTATGCCGCCATTGCAGAGCTTTAGGTCTGACAGGGTAGCTAAAGCTTCGACAACATTCTCCCAGCATTTCTTTCCTGGGTGCTCATATCGTTTCGCTTCTGTCTCTCTTTTGTCGCTCGTGTGCGTGTATTTATTTTGCAATTTGCATATTTAATGACTCTTACATGCATGTCCGTCCCTCTTTCCATATGCAAATGATCGCGTTGCCCCCTGTCCCTGTTCCCCACCGTGTTGCTGGAGCGAAGCGTGGCCCAATGAAATGCGCATTAACTTGGCTTAAACGTATTCAATTATGCAATGCACTTTTGGCCATCAGTGAGGGAATGCGCTGTGTGTGTTTGTGCTGCTCCTCTGATAAGACTTCTTGCGAAAACTTTGGCGCTTCACTTAATTGCTGTCATTAAATTTATGCACCTATGCCATGCAATCTTATCATAATCAGGATACCCCCTGCCTCCCTAACTCCCTCTTAAGCTCACACACACTTGCGTTGCCATGCGTTGCATCTCCTTCTCCTCATGGACCTCCTCCCCCCTAGCGCGCACAATGCACACTTGAGTAATTTCAACGCGGATTATACTAATTAAGCGGACCAATAGCCGCAGCGCGAGGGATCGTGCGTGGAGGGACTCATAAGCCACGACTAGGGGGAGGGAATGCTACACCTTACACGGTTTCCCCTTTCCATGTCCGTTGTTGTCTCATGCTCTGGTCAGGTGCGTGCTTCCGCTGTCAAAACTCAAAATTCATTATCC